AGAAGGCCCTGCGCCTGCCTTCTGAGGAACGAATCTTCAATACAGAGGTGACAATGCAAATGTAAGAAGTGAGAATAAGAAGAAAACAAGTGAGCGCAACAATGCCTACGTTGATGAAACTCACCGTGTGCGCTAGAGAGGTGTCTGCACAGGCCAGGGGCAGCACCACCGGGATATCACAGAAAAAATCATTCACCTCATTGGGGCCACAGAAGGGTAACTTAAAGACGAGGAACGTGAGAACAGATGCGTGCAGAGAGGCCCCCAGCCAGGTGCCTAGAGTCAGGACGGTGCACACCCGATGGCTCATAATGACCGTGTATTGCAGTGGGTGACAGATGGCCACAAAGCGGTCATAGGCCATCACAGTGTAGAGGAAGCACTCAGTGCAGCCCAGGAAGTGGTAAAAGAAGAGCTGGCAGGCACAGCCCTGGTAAGAGATGGTGTGGCTTTGCCCCATTAGGTAGAGCATTATTTTGGGTGAAGTCACTGAAGGGAAAAATATGTCAAACACTGACAGGTTTCCCAGGAAGAAATACATGGGGGTGTGGAGGTTGGAGGAAGGAAGGATGGCCAGAAGAATGAGCAGGTTCCCCAGCAGAGTGAGCAGGTAGAAAGCCAGAAATAAGACAAAGAGCACATTTTCCAGCCCTTTTGTATGAGGAATTCCCATCAGGAGGAACTCAGTTACTGATGTGTGATTCCTCATCTTCATGTCTAGTTAGTCCTGGGAGATCAAAGAGTGGCCTCACTGAGATGTTTTAAGCTCCCCAAAAGTAATATCTTTATAGAACACATTGGAAACTGGTAATAACTATATACTGTAAAAAACTTCTAAATAGGCATCAGTTCAATTCTGTCATTAATGTGTGACACTTAGGTTAAGTCATTTATTTATTTTCATCTGTTTTCTCAAAAGCAAAATGAAGAGAGAACACTAAAGGCAGTACACAGGAGAGGACGTAGAATACACTTTACAACTGGACACATCTAAGATTAAATGCTAAATCTGCCCTCCCACTGTGTGACTTTGATAAAAACTCTCTATATCTCCTCTCAATCTGTATAAATAGTATAATGAGATCTCATGGTTCTTGCGAGGATTAATGCTTTAATAGG